CTACTCTGATCGATTTTAAACCACCAAGGGATCTTTATCGTGCGTAACTTGCACACCGGCCCTCCGAGATTTTCGCCCTTGTCCGAGAAGGCTAGGTTGAGATCTTTCCTTCCAGAAGATCGGGGGTGGGGCCGAAAGACAGTAGTAAGAAGGCGCCAAGGAGAAGCAGTAGAAAGGCTGCAGAAAGAGTCATGAGCCCAGAGGAGGGGGCTAAGGAGGTGAGGGGGAGGGGGCAGAAAGAGGAGATGAAGGCAGACGACAGAACAGTGCAAGAGAGCAGGAAAGGGGGTGAAAGGAGACAATTTTAGAGAAGAATTTTTTTTCGGCCTTTCCCGGACTTGAACCCGGGACCTTTGAATGAGAGGTCAACAACACCTTAACCTCTAGGCCACGAGAGCCCCCCCCTTGTAAAACTTTATCAAAATTGACCGTCACTGTTTTTCTCTCCGTCCACAGGCTGAGGTATGGAGCGTGTTCACGGCCATGCTGAAGAAGAGCCGCCGGAACCTGAACGCCTGCACGGAGGTCGGACTTATCTCCCAGGCTCTCGCCCTGCTCGGAGAGGCAGATGAAGTCTCTGCAGGTATGTAGGCAACTGGGGACTTTTTGGTCCCACCTCCTTTGTTTTTATCCCACATCCCTTCCTCCCCCCCCCCCGTAATAGACTAAAGAAAACAAACCACAAAACAAACAAGCAAAATAAAACATTTTGAAAATCAACAACAACAACAACAACAACAACAACAGCAACAACAACAACAACAACAACAACAACAACAACAACAACGACAACAACAACAACAACAACAACAACAACAACAACAACAACAAAACAACGTCAATCGAGAAACCACTACAAAAAAGGTTGATTAATTAACAACCGTAGTTTCTGTATTGATGAGTTTCGCTTTCTCGAAAGTGGGATTTTTTTCTTTCTCAAGTGAGCGAGAACTCCTCGTGCTTGTAACAAGCGCGCGGGGCCCATGAATATTTGATCTTATTGCGAGTGCCCGCGAGTTTCGTCTTCAGAAGGTACTTGAGTTTGTAGGTCACACGTAGTAAGCTCCCTACTGTTCTCCGCGTTGTAAGGTTTGTTTAGACAAATGCAAGTACCGGAAAACTTATTTTATTTGGAGCAAATTTTGTTTACGTAAAGTGCAAATATTAAACATTTTTTGGGGTCGACCCTCATTTTTGTAGACGATGATAGTATCGAATAACCAAGGAAAAAGAAAGGGGGGGGGGGACTTGAGACTTCTCCCTACCCCACGGTTTGTCCCAAAGACCTCATCCTTTGATCTAGGCCTGTGCGTTTGAAAGTTGACTCGAGTTAGATCTAATGAGGAGCGCGTCTCCAGAGAGACCGGCGTCTGTGGTCTATCGGTTAAACGTTTCGCTGTCGCACACAGGAGACCCGCGAGTTCGGTTCCCGAGTGGGGAGAGAAGTTTTCATTGAGTTTCTCAGTCTTTCTGCTAGGATGGTGTATCCCTGTCATCCCTGGTTGGCCTTGGCAGGCAGGGCCAGAAGCCATCTCCTAGATGATCTAAGTTGCGTCGATGTCGGAGTTAAAAATGCTTCCCTAAAAAATCCCACACCAACAAATAAACCACACCTGGAGGGATGAATCAGACCGGTTTATCAAACTGTGACTATAGTTCGAGTGCCTCATATTGGCTCAGCTCGCTGAGCTTTCTATCTATCATCCATTGTTCGACACTCCATGATGAAATAGAAGCTAGATAGGGCGTGTCAATCAGTATGCGTAAAACCTTAACATAGCGATGATCGAGAACTATTTTTAAATTTCTCCGACCAAGCTTCTCATTTTCTCATTTCTGAAATATTTATCCGCTAGTGGGGTTTGCTTTTGTTGTTGTATTCTTTAGTTTTACAGTATCGCACACTCACTGTATCGATTAGGCCCGAACATTGAGCGGAACAATAGCAAGAGATAATAATATGATAGATTTGTTGTGTACCACGAGAAGCCTGCCGACGTCCCTATTCACTATCTTTGTACAATACTTCACAGATTGATCATTAGGAGATGGGCCACTATTGCGGATTTCGATACTACTAAAACGTTCTAAAAAGCTCCGATGGAGACATCTGTGCCACTGCTTTTTTATTTTTTTTAAAAGTAGTTTCATGGAGTGGCTTAGTGTATAATATATACATGGAGTAGTAGGGGCGAAGTTCGTTGTTTTATTTAAATACGCACTTCTTTTCTTTTTAACTAGTACTTAAAAAAAAAAAAGAAACGAGACCAGTTTGAAGCATCTGTATATCCGATATTGAATTGCGATACTATTGCTGAAAACACATTTTTCCTTTAAAAGAGTGAGTGAACAATTTTGCAATTTACGAGTACATCCACTGTCTTTGATAAACACTTGAAACTATAGGCGATTTGACACAGTTGAATATGTAGGGGAAAGTTCTTTTTGTTGTTGTTGGAGGAGGGGGAGGGGTTACTTTGCACTACATTTGCTCAAGTACCGTCCGATTCGAAACTCGCGCCTTGGCGTGGGTACGGCTCAGGTCGACGGTGGGGGGGGGGGGGGATCCTCCCTGTGAGGGCTTCCCTATCAGCTGAATTATAATAGCTGATGTTATCAACGTTCTGTTGGATACTTAAATAGCATTGCGAATCTTCTCGCCTTTCGAAATTTAGACGCACGCCCCTTTTTTGAAGACAGTAAACACGGTGGTTTTCCAACTTATTTGGGTTTTTTTAAAAAAAAGAGAAGTGTTAAGTTTAGACCAATGAATTGTGATTACTTTTACCCATCCATTTTAGACGTTCTATTTTCTTTTATATATATGCAAATTGAAAAATGACATATTTATGCTTGTATATACGATTCTTTGTTATATTGTCAGTATTTTATTATTCCAGCCTTCAGATTCGGAAATGTTACCTTGTTAATTATTATTTTGATTTTATGTATGAAAGATTTTCCAGTCACAACGAGGCACTCTCATCACCGCACCACTGTGCTTCTGATGCTTTGCTTTAACTTTAACAACCTCTGGTCCCTTTTTCTTCTGGCCTTTCTCATAATGATATTATGTTCAGATATTATGTTACTATCTCGTTCCTTGTTTAAGGGATGTGCAGTCGACAGAAAGTTGTCGAATGTTATGTGGTGTTACTATCCCGTTCTTTCTGGGATGTACATCCGACAGGAATTTGTCGAATGATACATCCATAACTATATTATGTTACCACCTCGTTCCTTTTTAATGGGATGTGCAGTGGACAGGAAATTGTCGAACTCGTATGAGTGTGTGTCGAATTGCGTGCATGGTGCGATGAGATCTTACTTTCGACTTGGGATCCCAATGTAGAACTGAGAAACAGTACATGTACACTGGTTTTGTGTTCTCAATGAGATTTGGTGCTGATTCTATTCCCCGCCCCGCCCTGGCAGGCCTAACAGGCCGAAGGCTTTCGCTTTCGACAGGTTGTGTCGTATTCACATCTTATAATACCATAAGCTTGTTAGACTGACAGAGCTGCCCAGGTCGCGGTGAGGGGAAAAAGCCCGAAGGAGCAGCCCGGGACGCTGGTGGCATTGATCGCACGGCTAGCTACATGCAATAATATAGCCAATGAGACGCATGTTGCGGGAATGTCCCCTAGTGGGGGTGGAGGGCGGAACTGAATGGAACGGAGATTGGGGGAAAGGACAGACAGAAGGTGCATGGAGCGTTGTCGCGAGATAACGGAATGGGTCCAGAATTTTGAAGTAGGAACAAGTACAACACTGGGAAATGATACAGAGCGGTGTCGATAGTCTAGTGGTTAGGATACCGGACTCGTGATCGTGAGGTTGCGGGTTCGGGGGTTCGAGCTGCAGGCCCGGCGTTGTGTCCTTAGGAAAGACACTTTACACGAATTTTTGTCATCTCACCCAGCTTTAAACAATAATGAAAGATCTTCTCAGTATGTGAGTGCTTTAGCGCCTATTAATGGCAGCTTGCACTGTGTGCTTCCCTGGAAGTTGAAATTGTTTCAGAATGCTGTCAGATCTGCTTGGGTAATAATATAGATTGTAAAGCATAGAGCTTGCCATTTGAGCGGGAGTTTACGCGTTATTAAAGTAGGGAACGGGGGTATCGAATCGGTGGCAGAGAAAACGCTAGTGGGGTGTCCTTTTGCGGGGATGCAGTTGAAACTCCTCCCTTATCTACATGCCGTCGGTGTGACAAGCAATCCACTTAGATCCGTTTGTGTACGTTTTACACCAGAGAAAGACAACCACAACGACAACAGCAACAAACCAACAACTAGTTTTTGTTGCGTTGTCCTTACCAGGAGTCATGAAAAGCAAGAAAGTTAAAAGCCTTGACCATAGCATAACATTTCATTTTGGTGATGTTGAGAGGCGCATCTTTGAAAGAGCTTTGGGAAGGGAAGTTCTCAAAATGTGGACTTCATTGGATTGCTTGCGGCAGCGACTGTGTGCTCTTACTCTTACCATTCCCCACATGGGCAATGAAGGATTACCTTACCTTATCTTATAATAGTTGCTCTTG